AGGCTTTTTTATTACCCGATGGTGTACCAAGGACACAAAGCAGAAAACCAATTTACTACAATTCAAGCAATACCGGAAGTGAATTTCTCTAACATAACATTGCAAAATCAAGATAGATAATTTTCAATTAACACCTTTCCGTATCTCGGATAGATATTCTGTATTACACCCATTAATGACCAACAAGCACTAACTAAGTAAACGGAATACATATATACTTTATCTTAACACTTTCGCGGCCGGAAACTCCAGGAACTATTTAAACCGTAGAGCAACATTCAGCAATTAAAATGTACGGCTACCCTCCACAACAAGCATGAAATCAAGAGAAATCAGTTTAAAATGTAATTTTATGAACCGCTTGTGATTAGAAAACCAAAATATATTTATAAATTGAATTATCGCCTGCCATTATAATTGTTCGAATCACGAAAGAATGTACCGTGGCATTAGTCAAAGACGGAATAGTACCATCGAAGGCCGCGAAAGTGATGATAAATAAATATTTATGTTAGTATTAGTATGCTCGTGTGAATACCATCAATTATCCCCTTTACTGAGATTAAAAAAATGAAATTTCTGAACGATAAAGTGAGCGTTCGTTGTTGCAAAGAAAGAAGATGAATCACGGTTTAAGAACACGCACGCTTTCCTTTCTTTGAAATATCGGAAATGAAACCGATAAAGTGTATCGTCGCATGTTACTGAAACGACAACCGCGCATACGCCGTACATTGCCGCGAGCTTATCACCGTGTGTGTACCTTTATTATGCGGGCGTTGTTTATCATTGATTACGGCCACTAGTGTCTCCCATATAGTGTAACCCACGAAAACATTCACAATAGCCACAATGTTCTTTTCCTCATTTTTCCAATTGACAGTAAGAAAATAATTTCTAAAAACACTTAATCCAAACACCAACTAAAATGCGTTTAATATATATGTATATATACGATTGACGATAGTTTTCTAGCTTTATCTACGCTCTAAGGGTTTTACGTGAAACATTTTCCATCCTGCATATACGCAGTATAGTGCATTAATATTTATAATGCGCAATTAAGTGACGGTGTTAATTAACCGGTTTGTTTTGACGTTTTACGATAACGATTGTAACTCGTTGAACTTAAGAAAGAACCACGCCAGAAATACAACGCAGTCTGCATTCCTGTGCGACACAAACCGGGGAAGGACAGACGTAGACAGGAAGCAAAGATCGATAGAGGTTCGTCGACTCGACAACTAACTGGAGTCTATATTCCGTCTGACGGAGGAACTACTAATGCTTTCGAACGTAAAAAGTTATCATGATTTCACGTGATTTAACACAACACAGGCACAATTTATGTTAATTCGACCCGGAGATTTACCAAAAATTACGATATTTGAAATTCTCACGTGTACAACAGACGATTGTCTTCGGTAACGAATTGGCGGGAAAATACGATACTTGAATATTTTTGTTCATCGTGTACGAGCTTTTTCGCGTAAGTAGAGAAAGACAACGTCATTCGTTCCCCCTTTCTGTTTACCCTTCGGTAGACACACGTGTGTTTTGTACTCACCAAAGCTTTCTATCAAGATGATTCCAGGAACCACGTTCACCTCACACTTGACTTAATCCGAGTAATGGTGTTGCTGGCATCTGCTATCACAGTGTTTCCGCGTGTACGAGAAATATACTACGAACTGTCATCGCCACAGCTGCCACGAGCAAACTGTAGTCGCAGGCACCGCACAGAAAACAATCACTACAGACGAAAGTCCGTTGAAAAACAGAGTCACTTCACGTGTTCACGGCGAGTTTTGTCAATACGACCGAAAGTCCACAGGTACCTGTCACAGGTACAAACGATTGTCAAAACGTATTTGTACGAAACACTGAGACATTTCACATTCTACGGTATCCTTGACGGGACTGTTCAAACTTATTGTTTAACAAAAGCTTGTAATTCACTGCATTCACAATTTGAAATTAGGATGTATTCTGTTTTTCCTTAGAACGCGCGCGAGAACATTAACCATCACTCACTGCGACTGGAATCACTCTGACACGAAACAATATCGATATATCGATGTATTCGATATTTTTTCTCAAGACCCACTGCGATATCTTCCAGTTTGAACTGTGACCGTTATATCTTGCATTTACGAATGGGATGCCGATTCAGTCTGAATAATTAAATTTTCTGCTAAAATTAAGCGATTGCGTCGGGAGGCAAGTGTCTCTTCTTGGTAATCCTCGGAAAGATATTTATTTCTATGAGCGATCGTTTCTTCGTAATTTCGTTCCATGTGTCTGTAGTGTGCCGCTTATGGTCGCCGAGGGTCAGTCACATATCTACAAACCACCTGACGGCACTATCATGAGAATAACGCACAATAGATTCCGGCTTCGAAGAACACTGTACGTGCGGGTATATACGTCAACGATGTGATCTTTCTTGAATCATGTGGATTTGAAACTACGAGCACATCCCAGTATGACTGCTTCGTACTCAATGAACTCCCGTCTGAACGTGTGCCGGATACGCTTGATCGCGGAGAACTATCGAACTATCGATAGCAACGAAAACGTTTCGATATTTCGAACGATACGATTTGTAACGGTCAGTCAGAGAAAACATGGTAACGACGTCGTCATCCAGACTGCACTGTTGCGGGAAAGATTCCTCCGTTTTGTTTCATTTCCAGACGGCTGAATTTGTGATGCGTGACGCAAATCGTAACAAGGTCTCAGCAGTCAAGTGTCACGGAGGCTCCTAAACTTACTGGTACAGGCGTCGACGAGAAATGCAACACGTTTCAGTTCGGCTTATCATCGACACACCGCGGACCATCCGAGCAACGTTTTCCGATCAACTCTATCTATCTCAAATCATGCTCGATTCGAATGTCCGAATTTCAGCTCGACGTATAGTGCACATGTCGGTAATATCCTTCCAGCTTTGGCAGCGCCGAAAACAACGATCGAGGTGGCCGTAAGGTACGATCTCATAACCTTCTTTAATCCTTCCAAAATATTTCCAAGCGATCTCGAACGTTTTTACGTTGCTTGACACCGAATCGCGGCGGGAAAAACGGACGAGCTTACGCGAAACAATGAGAATCCACGTTTAACCACAAAAACGCATACGGAGATGTCGCACGGAACGACAAGTGGACGGAGCCGCTGTTGGCCGACTGCCGACGGTCGAACACCGCTCGGGTCGCAACGATCAGCTGATCGCCACGCGCGCTACTATGGTAACCAACGTCAGCGGGCTCCGGTAGAGGGTTGCATGCGCGCACACGACTTTTGGAGGGCGCCCCGATACGCCGCAATCCGTCGCGCGGGCCCGATAAGATTCGTAATATAGGTACGTAAACGTCGTCGGTTTCTTGGATGCGTGCCGCGCGTGTGCGCGCACACACGTGGTCAAAAAGGTATATACGGATCGCACACAATGTTCGTCGATGGCAAAACACAAGAAAATGAGCGAGAACCGACGAAGAAGCAAAGTGCAAGACGGCAAACAAACTATTCGACTTCGCCTCTTGTGTTTCTTTAATTCCTTTTTCTCTCTTTCTCTCTCCCTGTCTCTGTCTCCGCCTGTCTTTCTATACTCGATTGCGCGACACGCGAAACGTCACGGTGTACCTGACGATTACGACCGCGTGCCGTCGCAAGGCAACTCAAATACTGCGTGACTCGTCACAAAATACAACGCCGGTGACCGTGTGTCTCTGACAGGAAGGAAAATCACGAGGTAAGCGTGGCGCGAGCGGCTACGTACAGCCATCCGCTCGTGTCGGCAGTCGGGCGTGCACTGCCTTCCTGAGTCGTCGGTTGGTTCCCGATCCTCGACTCGGCTCGCGCTCGACTCGCTCGCCTGGCTCGCGGCCTCCATCCCCATATCGCGCCACGCTCGGATGCTCGGTACAACCCTGTTCACCGTGTATTTTTTATCTGGATGACATCAAGATTTCTAGTTCTGGAGTGAAATTATCGATAACCGATAAATGAAGTACGGTTTGTTCGATAAATCAAGTCCATCGCTTCCAACCGTCTCTATGTAATCATCCGCGCGTTTATAATTGTCCATTTTGATAAATGATTTTTTCTGTTTCTGCGTTGATAGTAATATAAAATTTGATTATTAACGATGCATCGCTAAGTATTTTGTTAATTAAACAAAATCGAATTGTGTACGGTTTACAGTGTAATTGATGCATTGTGGTATTGAAATAGTATCGTGATAGGGAAAAGGAAACAAATCGCCTTGTCGATCAGTGAAGATTAATGGTATTACCGTGGAACCTCAATGCGTAATGAATCAATCACTTTTATGCAATATATACAGCGTGTCGACAAACCTGTAGTCACGCCTATAAACGATTGTGGGCCCAACTCTATTGTGAATCGATGAACAACGCCCACGCGTCAATTTCATTTTCACGAATGGGAACTTTTATTCTGAGAAATTTCTCTAATTGCCGCTGGACGAAATTCAAATTTTAGGCGGTTCCTTTCCTCCATTAGGAATATAATATACAACGAAAATGGTGATTGGTTAGGTTTTATGCTCACGCATGAGTTGCCACGATACTTTCGCGATCAGTCGTGTTTAATACGAGAACGAAACGATTTTTGCGTGAACGTCACGATTTCACCTCGTTTCGTTTTCAGTCATCGTTTCGGGTGGTCATTATACCAAGCGTGTCGATGTAGCCTACAATTACGGTAAACACTCGGTTCTCCGTGTTGATAATTGCACGACCACATAACAATAATTTGTAGACATTAGACAAACATTGCAGAACACAGCTTAAAAAATGTTTTCTCGTGAGTAAAAGTAACAATGTGATTTGTTTTCGATACTCATCTTACACGTATAAAGCTTCATACAACACATAATAATTAATAATAATGATACATACCAAGTAGTAAGTACATGCTTTTTGTATTTGTAATTTCATTTTTCCATAGTGTCGAATTACAAAAAATATATGTATAATAATAAATATACTATATTAATAAAGTTCATAATAAAACATTTCAATATATTTTGATAAAAGAATTTGAAGTTCAAGTACTCTAGATTTATCGTTTGTGAAATAGGATGTAACGAAAGTTAAAAACTCTTGACACATGCACTTTACTCAAGAAGGTACAGATTCGTGGCGACATCTATCAGCGTCATAGTAAAACATGTTCACATAGTCACAATGAACAGGTGTTTTCAGTAATAAGGACGCGTATAATTATGTGAAGTAGTTGCATTGAAATAATTTACCGTTCTGAAGAGGAGATTACGGGGCTAAAATAATCAACCGTTAATGTGCTAAGGGGCAGAAGGACCAAAGAAAACTTACAAAAGACACAAACATCCATAGAAGTAACAGTGCGATTATTGTTAATATCGTGTAGTGCGCTATACGTAGCCTGAAATACAAAAAAATATTATGTTTTATAATATTGAATATTATTAAATACAGTACTAATAAAAATTTTAACAAGTAACGTACTTCCTGTATTTCACGAGACCTTCCTCTATAGTGTCAAGTGGATCTTTTAACATGTACATACGAAGACCCCTAATATGATGGTAATGGTACTCATGCCAATCTAGGTGTTCCATATTGAAGTAAAAAGTTTCTCGATCAACAGAATTCAGTTTCTGCCAAAGTTTCATAACATTTTCGTTTCGAAACTCCCACTCTTGTGTTGAAAAGTAATGTATTACCTTGCTAAATTTATGTATTTTCCTATATGCATCTACCAGTCTAAAAATTGTATTATTTGTTAATGAATATGGTAATTATCTCGTTTTATATACTATAACTTAGTGTGTATAAATTATGAATATATAAAGTACATACATAGGTTTTTGTCCAATGAGATATGCAATTGTATCAACAATAACTGCTGGTATTGAATGTAAGAAGAAAGAATAGATGTGGTATAGAAAAAAATTTCTTTGGAGGATTATCGAATGATACCAAAGTACTTTTTTGGAAGGGACACTAATGCCATAAAATTTATTCAGTTCCAAGAATTGTCCCCAAGTAATTGGTCTTTGACACGAGGACACTGTATTATAAATAGGTATTTTGTCTTCATTAGATAGATTGGATTGCTGCTCCAGTTCTGGCAATTTCCTATAAAGTCATTACTATGTAGTATCAAACATACGTATATCTTATTCAAATTTGTCTTCTACTAAGTTAAGAAACTATCGGCAGTCGATTAAAATTAGCTGTAAAAACTTCCGTAAACGGCCGATCGTCTACAAATAGATATGTCGGACTCGTGGACAGTCTGTTTATAGTGAAATTTTTTAAAACAGACGCGCTATAAACTTTCTGAACTGTATTACAAATATTGAATATTATATGAAATTATAAATATATAATAAAATAGAATATGATGATGCCGGCTGTATACAGCAGTCTACGCAGAAAGTCGTCGCAACGAAAGTGTGTTAATTTAAATTTGATCGCAATTTCTCTAATTTATAGTTCATATTTTTTCATGCCATCATCCTCTTCTTTTTCTTTTTGTTTGGCTTCGTGATGCATAGAATGAATTTTTAAAGTTTATCCATGTTGTACTAATAGAGTATGTATAATAATAAATGGCGATCATGTTAAAATTTACCTATTACCAATTCCCCAAGCAGCAGAGACAATATTATTAACAACATAATCCGCAGGTATAATATCTGCTTTCACTTCTGGTTTACAGTGTAAGGTACGTAATAGACCCAAAGCAGTACCCATAACGACACCTGTCGCTCCATACAAATTGTTTGTCCATGCAATAATTGGTTCTTTGGCTGTTGATATGATAATAGAAGGTCGAACGATACATATTGGAAGTCCAACCCCATATTTCAATACCATATATTCTCCAGTAGCTTTAGTAACGACATAGTTATTGGGCCAATGGTCGAGCAATCTATAAATATAGAAAATATTAAATTGTTCATAGCTACCTGCATTACTCTCTGGTTTGTAGTAATGCTTACACAGGGCCAATTTTTAGTAGTTTGTCATCATCCAAACTATCCACCAAGGATATCAACTTATCACCTTCGATAGGAGCATCATAATGTTTTTCATCAATACTTTTACGTACACAATGGGAGTATGCAGTTGATACATGTACATATGCCTGTAAGTAAATCAATCGCAATTAACATATATACAAAATATAATGATATTAAGAAAGTTAATTGATTTATTATGTTGTCAACTGTTAATAATTATTTCTATTTTTAACGAAACATGTAACTAATTTCCCACGTTACCTTTAAATTCGGTAGTTGCCTTGCAAATAACAGCATAGATTTTGTACTTCTCACATTGATGTTCACCGCTAAACGGAGTTTCTCGTCGAATCGAACGGTTGCAGCAGCATGGAAAATAATATTGGTATTCATTAAGATTTCTTTAATTTCCGGTGTGAAACCAAAATCTTCTTCTGCCGCATCTCCTTCTATCATTACCACCTTATTGAAGAAATTAGGCTGTTCGCGCTTCAATCTCTCGTATATCTAATTACAATAATGTGCACATGTCCTATTGTTCAATTTCATCCATTATCATTATTTATATTCATTTAATTATATTACATACAACTTCATCGAAGGCTTCTTTAAATCTTTCCTCCGAACTTTTCCCCTTTTTCGATCTTACTACCATGTACAAAGTCTTAATGTCCGGGCAGGATCTGTAAATATGCATACAATGACATACGTTGACCCAGCACGTGAAAGAATAGAACGCACTTGCATCTTTTTAAACTGTGAATATACCTATACGTATGTGCACAGTTTGATTACCCAACGTGCACAGTAATTGCTAAAAATGGCACAATGTTAATCGCAGACCAACAATAGTATTAATATTCGAGCATTGTTGAATAAGTCATTGCATCAGTATTCCCTGAATTAAACCACTGGCGTGAAATTGATTTAGAAGTTTTTCTGATAAAGAGTATAATTAAAAGTTAAAGTCTGTGTTTGAGTCAAATTGACCCGAACAATGCACGAGGGTTAAGAATACTACAAAAATAAATTTATTCATTTTTTATATACTACATTAAAAAATTAAATACATATATTTTTAAGACAGTAGCGAAATGTAAAAACAATAGCTTCTCGATTATTACTGCCTTATTACAAATATATGAAAAAATCAAAACTATTTATGGAAACCTAAATTAACGAAAAACCCATATGTGGGTACCATCATAAATTATGTAATACTGTGACCTTAAATATTAATGAACTAATGAGCTTGTGCAATTAATGAATGTACGTATCTATATATTATACGGCAGTAACATTCATAAATCAAATGATGATCTTTCCATGGCTTCCTGGAAACATCTCAATTATTCTTTCTTATTTTTCCTCACAAATATATGGTCATCATAATTAAACATTAATTCATTCTAATTGTAAACGTAGTTAGTCTATACACGCCGGATGTACCTTTTGAACCGTTTATTAAATGTAACATGACGCGTGTTGCAAAATGTTGAAAGGACGTGACGCGTTGAAAATGTCTGTTCGATAAGTCATTACAAGCACCAAGATGGGTGGGATTCGTGGACGTAGGCAAGAAATTCGTAATATGAAGCGGAAAAAGAATGGTACCGAACTTAATTAAAATCTGATTAAAAATTTCAATGCAATGCTGAATCACTTTGCTACCGTTTCGTATTCCCCGTTTTCGTAAGTAAGAGATTTTACGCAATCGTATCGTAAAACATTGTAATACACAAAATATAATTATCGATCGATGAAACACATGAGAATATTCGATAGGTTGTGAATTTCCTTTTTATAATAATATCGTAATGATTGTTTCAGTATCTCTTAATAAAGAAAAGAATCTACATTTTTATAGCCGTAATTTGCACAAAATGCGGATCGATATGGATTCCCGATGATCGTGGAATGATATTAAAACATTGAAACACGAAAGATTAATGGAACTTTTAATGCGCATGTTGTTAAAAAAGATCACCTCAGTAATTTTTCGATGAGTAACTTGCCCAGAAAACCTGTCCCTCCTGTTACCAAAACGTTCGTCTGAGCAAAAAATTCGACGATATTACTTTTTTCATTGTTTAAAGCTGGTAATTCAGAGAAATCCAATATATCGTCTATATACGCATCACTTCTTTCTGATGTCATCTCGTTTATGTACCTGTTAGATTCGCGTGATATACGCGATTGAATAATAACAACTCATTAATTCTGTGTACTCACACAAATATCTAGGATAAGTAAAGAGCATTAACGAAAATCATTCAATCCAAACAAAAAATTTTTGAACGATCATCGTTCCAATAATTTAGCACGTAAAATAGCAATTCTACTTTTGTTTCATCTTTCACTAGTACATGGACATCTTCGTTAGATTATCGATGTATATATTTAATACCAAAAGCGAAAGAAAACAATTAATAACAAAAAAATGAGAAAGAACATTTCATAAAGCTTTCTCTAACAATGTGTTTAATCGTTATTTTAAATACATTATCGTGTAGTTTAATATATTCAAGAAAATTTCATACGTTTAGGTTGCGCTTTAATTTTGATAGTTTTTTCGGGTAATGTTATCGGTTGTAAATATAAAACAAATATTTGATTGAAGTGAATGTGTGTGAATCTACAACATTTAAGGAAATAGTTGAATATATTGGGAAAAATGGAAAAAGTGCCATGATTCGAAGAAAACCTGATTAGGCTGTCTCTTACCTGGACTGGACTAACTCCCAATATAATCGGTCCGATGTGAATTCAACGACGGGTGAATCTCAACTGCGAACTGTTCCGAACCCGATCCAATAGCGTTAAAAAGATACATTTCCTCATACGTATATCCATGTGACACATGTAGAAGTGACCGCCTCTTTATGGTAATCAACAACGGCCATTTAATAATTGTTTGGACTCTCATAGCGATTTTAAAGCCTAACATTAACTATTATAAAATAGAATAATAAAGTGTACGATCAATTAAGTACTTAATTAACGTTTACTTCAAAATTGTCAGTTTGTGAAAAGTATAGAAAATAAAAAAAGAAAATTCAAAATATTGAAAACACAGCTTAATAAATTACATACTTCAAATGACACAATTACAGAAAACTATTCATAAAGATTATGTTTTTCATGTTTTTCCTTCAGAAATAGTCAGTTATTTACTACGGAGTTCATATATTAATTGTAATATAGTGGAATGAAATTCGAAAACAGATTCTATATGAAATAACAAAATAACGCCAGTTTATTATACCTTTCATGATACCCTCGTTTTTGTTACTTATTAACATACTTTTTTCTGGTTGTCTATATTGTTCGAAATTAATTCTTAAGAATACATTTTCACGTTAATTAATTATACGCATATTTGTAATGAATTAATTATATATTAATGCTTTTATTTGCGTTCTATTCATTTTCATTCCTACAACTTTAACTAGGCCTCGTGAACAAATTTTTGACCACTGTATTTTTTTTTACAGAATTGAAAATTGACTAATTGGTAACGTAATACGAAACAATGACTACGCTTTTTAAATAATGTATTTTGAGGTCACTCCAGTGCTTACCCTTTGACGCAACAGTGACTACTAAAGTCACAGTATACATAATTAATAGCTTCTCGTACGACCTAACTACACGCATTCTTTCTCCACAGGGAAATGATATTTTACTTCAATAGGATTCGTTCAGTCGGAAGTGTAATCCGGTGGAAAAAATCGTATCCCCATGGAATTATCACACGCACGGTGTACATAAGATTGCTTCTACCAATTTATTTGTACTGATACACATGTTTCATAAAGGGGATACAATATATACAATACATAATGGAGCGGCATATATTATAAACAAAGAAAATATATAACATCTATTAATAAAGCACTGCCTGCAGACTGATTATGCAAAATTGTTGAACAATTACAAATCGATAATACAATAAATCAATAAAGCGGCTTCGTTTCTATCTTATCCGTATACTATTCTGTTGTTCGTTGTTTTCGATGTTTAAAAGAAAAAAATTGGTCTAATCCGACTCGATATCCTAAGGATCCCTATTCGATAAAGTATTCGTGGAAAAATACTGTAAAATATCTTTGTTCGTATATTTCACAAATTATAATGTATTTCGCAATTTTCGCCGTCTAAAAGGGGTGAATAAAATCAGGCATTATAACTAAATTCGCTTTATCTTTGCACAGTACCCATTTGTTTCTTTCTTTTTTTTTTTGTAACGCACAGCGTTCTCCTTTTTGTTCAATCATTTATACACAGTTAATATATCCGCAATTCAATTGTTCTTTCGATAAATATACATTTTAAACGCACTTTACGCGTTCGATTCTAATATAATACGTTATAATTTCAAAATCAACTCCGAAGGAAATTTGCAACAGGGAGCATAAATAAAATATATAATTTCTCCAATACGAATCAGACAGTAACGACATTTTAATCGTCCTGTAAGATACTCAACGGATCCTCGCCGATCTTCTCAGCAGTCTTTCTTAGATCCCTCGTGACCGATTTTTTCACGGTAGCGCGTGTTTCCGTCGGTTGTGCGCGCAGTTCGCTCGTCGACGATTTCTTCCCAAAAATATCACTATCATCGTCGTCGTCGTTGGACGGAAACAACGACTTCGTCGTAACGACCTTCTTCAGTATCGTCTTCGCGGCGAAAATGTCGTCCTCGCCGCTCGACTGATCGCCGAAAATGTCTGTAATATGTGAGGTCTTCACGGGATCAGTAGTACTCGCAAGTATCTCATTTTTGTTCTGGGGCTCTTGAACACTTCCGGCGTCAGACTTCTGTGCGTGCTCCGACTTTTCGGAGAACAGACTGGCATCGTCGTTGCCGTCATCGAACAGACTTATCTTCTTATGGGGCTGTTGAGTCGACCGTTTCCTTTCAATTTCAGCTCCCGCCGCCGATTTCTTCGTGACAGGACCGAACAGACTGTCCTCCTCGTCGTCCGGGCCGTCGTCGTCGTCGAACAGGCTGATCTTCGTGTCTTTCATTGACTTTTTCACTGGTTTGGACAAGGTTGCCGAAAATAGGTCGCCTTCCGCATCGTCTGCGAACAAATCCAACACTGACTTCTTGGCGGTTTGGTCCTCGGATGGCCTTTTAGCGCCGCTGGAGAATAGACTATCATCCTCAGAGAACAACAAGTTCTTGCCCTTCTCCGGGGACGGTGTTTTCGTGACGAACGCAAACAGTTGACTGGGATCCTTTAGGGGATCATGCTTATTGTCCCTTAACGGATCGATCATTTCTTTCGAGTGAACGTCATCGTTATCGTTTTCGTTTTCAGAAGGAACCGTAGCTCTCGTACCGTACTCATTGTTAGCTTCCGTTGGCTTTCTACTTTGATTTATAGCCTTGCTTTTTTCTACAGTTACGCCTGTATTATTATCCACTGTTTTGATGTGGGTGTCCTTCAACGGTTTGAGGCCCGGAACCGGTTTCTCGGAAAGGACACGATCGACAGGCGAAAGAATAGGCGCCCGACCGAACAGAGCGTCCTCTTTTTGCGGATCCTCCGGTAAATCCGGTGGGACGTCAAACAGATCTTCCTCGTCGGTGGATGGGGACAACAAAGTGTTCTTATTCGCGCTCATCGAACTTTCCTTGCTTATGCTACCAAGCTCGGATCTATCGTCCGTGGCTAACGAAACGTTTGGATCGATTAACCGATGAAAACCATCGTTCCCTGTCGTAACCAGACGTTCAGAATTTGCGATTTGAGGAATATTAGAATTCGCAGGGTTAGAAGGATCTTTAGCAAGACCGCCTGATAGATTATCACCATAGCTTTCATTCGGAGGATTGCTTCCCGAGGCGTCCACGGTGTCGAAGTCAATCCCGCTATGTCTAAGCGCAGTTTTTCGGGCGTGTCTGCTCTGAGGTCTCCGTTTCGCTTGAATTCTGACTCTTGTCTAATGAATTACACGTAAATTAGAAACGAAAGAATATTACGTTACCACGAAAACTATTTCGGCAAGTACCTTTGAGGCGGCAGTAGATAGTGTTTCCACTTGAGCAGGCTCATCGAAACTGATTGCACTTTCCACGTTGCTTTCACCCGAAACTGTTGATTGCAAGGACTGTTTCTGAGCGGTGCTGTCTTCTACAAAAAAAAGAGTTGTAATTAACATCTGCAATATATTTACTCGAATTAAATGCAACGTTATTGTCGGAAGTGTGTCCCTACGTGTATTTTCAGAGTTACTGTTCGCCACAACTACATAATTTCTATATTAACAAATTAATTATTCAGCTTCGAAACAACTTTTTAAAATTATTTTGTATTGCTTTCATAGATTGAAATATCTGATTATATATGAAATATTTATAAATACATATATATAGGAAATATTTTTCCACGATTCCTCGTCACGGCTCGAGTATTCAGAAAATTGATCATCTATCTAGAAATACTTCCTGTTTGACAACAGACAAAAATAAATTATATGTAAAATTCAATGTAAATATACACTACCAGATACGCTAGGCGGCGAACTATGACCTTGCGTGCTAATACATCCGCCGTCGTCACTGTCTCTATCCGTTATGCTATCGTCCTCGTCCGTTTTTTCTTCGCTCCTCCTCCACAATGGCGGAGTGTCCATGGGCGAGAGTATTTTCAAATCGCCCATTTTTCCCATCAGATTCTTAATTTTCCCGGACACCGTTCGTCGAGCGGCTTGGTCATTTTCATTGGACGACGACGACGAAACGGTCGTTTGAATGTCCAACGATCGCGGTGGGCTCTTCTTTGGTTCAGTTTCTGCGGTCTCTACAGCCGCAGGTTCTTCATAAGTCGTTCGAGATTCACCTTTCTCAAATGTATCTATTTTTTTATTGTCATCAAATGTATTACTACCGACCGTAACTTCAGTCCCCATAACGGACACTATATCCGTAACTATATTGCTCTGTGGTGTAGCCTTCTCATCTTGTTTCTTTTCCTCTTTGGTTACGTTGCTCCTGCTGAAGTAGTCATCGTCTTCGAAGATCGATCCGTGGGACGAAACGGTGTCTGGGAACAGTCCATTTCCTGATAAAATACCGCCGCTCTTGTTTTCCGTTTTACGGACGGATTCTTGCTCAACGCTGTCTTTCCCCGCTGAACCCGTTCCAACAGATTGCTTAACGTTCGTTTGCTTCGCATCGTTCGTTTTTTTAATCAAGAACAGGTCACCGTCGCCCTCGTTGTTTAACAGTTGGGATTCGGTTTTACTCTCATTGCTGATCGGTTTCGCGGCGAAAAGATCACCGTCATCGTTATCCTCGTCATCGTCGAACAGACTGATCTTCTTCGGCATGTTACTCGATTGTTTATCTACGTCATTCTTCTTGGACATCGTATCTTTGATAGTTCTCGCGAAAAGACCATCGTCGGTGGTGTCCGACGGCCTCTTCCCGGGAACGTTAGTTTCCTCTTGCACCGACTTGAACGCAGCTATCCCGAATATGTCGACATCCGGTGAATCTTTGCTGCCGAATACATCGATGTCCTCGTCGAACAGCCCTTTTCGTTGGGTGACCTTCGCCTTGTCCGAATATTGTGTACCAGCGGCGGTCAAGAAATCGGTGCTCTTTTGCGACCTCGAGCCCGAACTGGTCGTCGAGAACAGTTCGTCGCCGGAATCGGAGTCGTCGAACAAGAACGAGACCTTCGATTTCACCGGCTTCGTGTCGGCCTTCGGTAACGGCGGCGGACCAAACAAGTCCTCGTTCTCGAACACGTCGTCTTCCTGCGTGGAGATAGATTCCTCGGTCGGTTCCTCTTGCGGCTGATTACTAGTCAAATTCGAATTCGCGGTGGCATTGACCGGGTTAGGGCTTCGCGCCGTGAACAGGCTGTCGCTGGCGACTCTCTCGCAAAACACGGAAAAATCCACGCTTAGCGGGGATGCCGGAACGGTGGTTCTTTTTTCGAATTGGTGCAATGGAAATTTTTTAGTGAACTCAGGGCTGCCTTCGCGTCACGGGAAAACCCTGTTTATTTGGCCCGCGGGTACGTCACGTTTCCGGTTCTCTGTTGTTTCGTGAAATTGTTACGAAACGTTTCGAAAACATATACATGTTAAAAATTAGCCAACCAGCCCCAGTCTCCCCTACACAGACGTTAAAATAGTTTATTCGACGAGACTTTAAAGAATTTAATCCGGATTATATTAAATACAGAATGTATATTAAGCTCTCAAACCGTGAACTATGACCAGGAGTATTATTAACTGTTACGCTTATTTCGGAAGGAAGTTGTATTTTTCCTTAATGCCATGTATATGATTACATTTATAAACCTTTTTTTTTCTTTAAATTAAAGTTAAAATAATTTTCGAAAAGTATTCCATGTGAAAAACAGGAGCCTGTATGCAATCATACAACGTACGATAAATACATAATGTAGAGAGCGAACGATATTTACTCGAAATCTGCACATCGAATACGTAAAATTTTTGTTTTCAATTTTTCCAAGAATATTACAGATATGTACGTTGCAAATATTCCACGAAATGTATTTTCCTCTATGAGATCATAAAAACTTTGTTAGCCGAGGAATCCGTGTTGAGTTTGCGAGCATTGGTATAAAACTGAAGTCAAATACATTTTTCGACAACGAGTCCACGAGTGTGAGACGAGAAGAAAATAGCGTGATCGCAATCAGCTCAGATTCAGAGAAAACTCAGACCTAAGATACGGGTCTTTAGTGAACCAACGTTCAATGGACGAGAATTAACAGATAATAGTGATATTAATGCAAAAACAATATGTCTGTTCAATACGAACAAGTAATTCTGAAATTCTGTTTTCTATATTTAAGATCGGTATAGTAGATCGTATATAAATGAAGAAGCAAGAGTTTGTGTAAAGGTCAATCAAGATAACAAGGAAAAATATAGGTATAAAAGAGGAATTCGAATATACAGAACGTATCAGTCGTCTCAGGAAGCTAAAACACTACAGAACGCACCAGCTACAAAAGCAATATGAAGAACATTATTTTGTGTACACTTTTAGTGGCGATGTGTTTAGTAATGGAAACGAAAGGTATGCTACTTCACATTATGCAGAGGACTTTTTACTTTTTTTATCTCGTGTTTTAACTTACAAAAACCTGTTTTTTAACGTTTTTACAAGTGTACACGTTTCCACTGTACAATACGCGAATCGTTGCTTACTTCTATGTACAGAGTTCAGTTTTTAAATAACACAACAGAAACAAAAGTCGATAAAGATTAGGGTAGTTCAAGAGTCAAAGATGATGTCAAAATCTCACTCTTGGTCAGTTTCCCTTGTATCTACAGAGATTATGCTCGAAACTTATTAAACACCTTGTATATTTGAATTGTTTATGTACAGCGGACTGCGAGTATATGGGCAAAAATTATAAAGTGGGAGAAAAATACACACAGAACTGCGCTGAGTTTACTTGTCAGTCAGGAGGAGGTTTTGGTGGTCTTACGTAAGTTATGTGATTCGAGTGTTTCGAATTAATATTCACTTCCTAAATAACACGTCTACACTCTACCTTCAGTTTTATACATATATATCCCGTCTGATTTCCAATTTGAAGGAAAAATTTGATCATACGTGTCATGCATGTTCATTAAATATACGAATAATCAAAATAAATTGTATACTTTCCAGTGTTTACACTTATTAGTCAACGATTAAGTTCAATATAAACTGTAGAATTTTCTAAAAAATGGTTTCCTATTACTTTAACTCGCGTTTTGTTTTTTTCTTCTCTGTATTTTAATTTCCTTCTACTCTTTCGAATTACAAAATATCATTGCAGTGTTGAATACTATTTTTCTAAATTTTTGCTGAATTGTCAAGATAATTGATATTACAGTTCGAGGGCAAGTAAGAAGTTATCGAATACTAAAGTTCCTTATCTCATTATAGAACGTGTTTCGCTTTAACGAGCCACCGGATTATTTAGCCATTTTCGTTAATATAGAAACAAAGTTGTTAACAATAGCAGTAACAGACATGTTGAAACCAAAGTACCAAATAACTCTAAACATATACTGGAATTAAATACACATTTTGCACACCAATAAATCTCACTATTTCATTTTGCCTTCAGGACACGCTCAATATTTACTTTTACATTTTTACACGATGTCTCGAAACAACGGCTATCTATGTCAAATACACTGTAATTACTGCTAGTCACTATCAAGGATTTAATATTATTACGAATAAAAATGTGACATTATTATGTATTATTAGCAAAAAGTTTATATGGTTCCACTTTGAAAACTCATCAGTGGAAACTCAATTTTACCGTAGAAAAAAAAAATACCTTTAATGTAGATATATTCTTGATATGAATCTTTGATCCCATCATCGTAAATGGCGAAAAGTAGCGCGTATCATTTCCACGTTGAACGAAACCGTTGTAATAGTAAAATACGTTAAAACATTACAGATGCGCATTATACGAATGTATGGAAGGAAAGAAAATCGGATACAAAGAACAGGACAACAGTAAACCTTATCCGCAATGCTGCGGAGGTCCGATTTGCTTGCCTTGAAATAGACGTTGGCTAGTGGTGACCGATGTTAAATGGAAAAAGAAATTGTATCTGCGAAATGATTTATGGAGTAACACGAAGCTAAATAAACTGACACCATAAACCGTGAACCGTGTTAAGACTTACTCGGTGTTGTATGATTAATACATAAGTGTAATTAAAATCGAAACGACGATAAGTTGTACGCGCGAGAGATACCGATACGAGACGAGATACTCTGGAACTGACGGTGCTCGCCTTGGAGGCTCTCGCGTGTGCATCGTACAATCGCTGTAACGCAATGGTGGATGACTAATGTTTGGATCATCAATTCAATGACACTTTAAGTATTTGGCACGCGTACTCGTTCTCCCATGTGCACGAGAGACACAAAGACGATGGTAATTGTTTATCAGTGCTTAGTAAACTTGAAGGTCGATATTCGATGATTCAATATACGTATACAGGACGATGTACGTGTAATGATGAATTGTGTAATCTTTTAACACTAAACCTATCGAACCCTTCAGAGAAATAGGAATTAGAACGGCAAAACCGATCATTTGACCGGTCGTAGTAGGTTTAGTGGTAAAAAGGTACAGAGAACTACTTATTCGAAGAGATCGATCCCACATTCTTTTGGTGGACACGCTTTGAAATATAGAGGTAAAATCGACAGACCTTTGAATGTCCACATAGTTTTATCCTTAAAGGCATCCTTAAGGCCAGTAAATCATTAGTACCACACAATAATAATTAATTATCGACAATATAAGAATAAAAATTACAAAAATCGAAAAAAACAATTATATTGTGCAATTTGAAAATTAGTTCGTTATAATTTAACCCTGAATCGCCACAAATGAACTAATTTTAAGTTATTGAACTTGTCTTCAAGAACATTATTTGCTTAGACGGGAAGAAATATGCGATCGTAAAAAATTGAATTGAAATACAAATTTTTTCAAGAAATTTAAAAGAAAGGAATAAAATAATTGTAGGCGACCTTTGGTATCCTACTATTTTGTTAACATAAATATTGTACTTATCTTTGCTGAAATAAAAGATTCTTATTTTTCGGGCTAAATCAGTAAAATTATTCTCTTCTATCAAAGTGATTAGTAATCATATATGAAAGTTGACTTAAGAGAAATAAAAACTAAGGCAGTACGGATTACATTAAAACTTACCTGATACTCGAACATCCGGTGATATTAATGCTCGGTGGTTGGATCGATATCCCGCTAGTGTTGGTGCTTTCATTGGTAGCGGTTAGATTTTCTGCGTTATTCCTTGCCATCACGATGGAACTCCGGTCAGTGGCATTATTATCGTTAGAATGAGTATTCCGCAAATTGTCCTGCACGGACTCTTGATTGGCTGCTGATGGGTCACTACCAGAAGATTCAGATGATTTTGTTCGTATGATTCTATTCGATAATTTATTTTCCACGCCCTACAATGGTTGAATGATTTTTTCATTTCATTAATTTCATATCGTTTAAACGTTTAAAGAAATTAATATTAAGTAACGCTTGATGCTTACTTTCTTATTCGAGACTGGATTTTTAAACGAGCCAAATAGATCGTCTTCATCGTCGTCGCTAAATAAATTACTATTGTTTGCATTAGTCTCCGGTGTACTTGTTGCTCTGTTACTAATAACTGATGGTGCTACAGTATCTAAAAATTTCTTCTGAGCAATTTCTGTATTAACATTGCTATTATTTGGATGTTTGGTTTTAGCAACTGTTTTAACTGTATTTTTGGGGGAGAAGATGTCGTCGGAATCTTCAGAGTCACCATCACCGAAAAGATCATCGATCGCAGATTTTGGTTGCGTAGCTAAAAATGCAGAATTCTATTGAAATATCTCACAGAATGTACTTACACACATTACAAAGAATTTCAAATAAAAAACCCTTACAAACTGTACTAATGGGTGGCGGTACATCGAGACTAGCAGGTATAATATTATTCTTGTATGATTTAATAGGTTTTTCTTTCCATAAACTTTCAGAGGCTTGGTCATTTAAAAATTCACTTTCATTAAATATACTTTTCGACTTATCATTTAAGGCATTCTCATGTCCGTCTGGTGTAAATAAATCGTCTAAAATATAGAATAATGATTAACATAAATGAATGATAAAGCTATTCGATTTATTTAAGTACCTTTCAATCGATTTATCGATGCTTCACTTTTTTCATCCACGATGACTGGTTTCTCAGCTTGCCGAACTGTACCTAAGCGCTTAGCTAACTCTTCCGCAAAATTTGGAGTTGAATCGTTTGATAATGGTACCTAAACAATTTTAAGTATTAAGATATATAGTATAAAGTGAACAAGGATGTATGGAAAGTATACAAACCTTCGGTGTATTATCATTAGGAGAAATTGATTCAGAAGCAGAATGCATATTGTTTTGACTAACTACATCTAACTTATCATTGTCTGTATATGTTATATCACTTCTTCTACTGTAATCTGATTCAATCAAAGAAGGTGATAATCCAACTATGTTTGGTTTTGGACCAGTATCAATATTATAACCCCTAAGTGTTGCTGTGTCATTATCACTTCTTGATTCTTCTTCTTCTTCTACTTGTTCTGATTCACTACTGCTACTGCTACTTTCCAGGCCAATTTTAGTTGATTTTTTCCATAGATCGGAACCAATGACATAAGGTAAAGGCCGATGTTGGTATGGATCATTTGGCCCCAATACAACACTAAAATTCAATTGTAAAGTGTTACAGAACTGTTTCAATAAAAAGTAGGGTAATTATGCATAAAGAGGGCAACCTCATGTATGACCTTGACTTTGACATATGTTGTCAAAGTCATTGTCATAAATAACCTTAACGTTGAAAACATTGGCGGTTACGATCCGTTCAAAAGTTATGAACTGTCAACGTTTCCGTATACCGTATAAGAGAAGATTATATTTGAAAGAGTGATCGGAGTAGGTCTGAAGCTATAGACTCGTTAGCGGCGAGGGGGTTTGGGGGAGGATCAGCAGCCCCGGTCGGCCACACTGCCAGTCTGCTGAAAAAACACAAACAGCTGACAAATCTTCTAAAATATAAATTCGCTCTTTCCAAGAACAATCAGTGTGAGGTACACCACCTCAAGTAAAAACTCGTCTATTGTTTTGCTGCCGCCCCTCCCCCAAACCCCCTCCTCGGTAGCGAATCTAGTCTCCAACGTAGTCCGATCACACTATTTATTATTAATGTATACACAACTAATCAAAATTTAAACATGCTACAACAAGAATGTAGATCGTCGGAGGAATGTAAACAAAGCTTCAGTCGAAACATTGGCATAATATCGTACTTTCGTATTGTACGAAACGGAAACTTTAACGGTTCATAACTTTTGAACGGATCATGACCGCCAATTTTTCCAACATCAAGATTACACAGGACAATGACCTTGATAACATATGTCAAGATCAAGGTCATACATGAGGTTGCCCTCTGTGCTTAATTACCAAAAGTAATCATTAAACAAAGTAAATTACCGCAATACTACTCCATTGTCTTCTTCTTCACTATCACTATCAAGAAATTCCATTTTCTTATATTTTTGATCCATTATGTTGAGGCCTTCTTTTATACTTTCACTTACACTAGCTATTAAATCTGCAGTTGCTAAATCTTCATTCTTAGATTCCTATAAATCAATCATCATTGTGATGGAATACTGATCCAAAAGTTTAAATTACTTTCTGTTCATTAACTTGTAGTTACCTGAGCCAAGGTTTCCTTTTTTTCAATCTCTATATCATCTTCTTGCACACGACTTTCAATAAACTGATTATTAGATAAAGCCAAAGATGTATTGGTGACATTATCAATAAGTATAGCTGCTTCATTTAACTGAGTCGTCAATGAATTCAGTGTTTCTTCAGTTTTATTTGCCCTTGACACCAAGTTCTTTAAAGAATATATATTAATATTAATTTCATACCTATATGTTTGGTCAACTAGTCAAGGAAATGATATATATCATAGAGTTAAGTCGTACTTCAGAAAATTGTTCGAGATGTTTAAGAAGTCCTGCATCAGCTGCCAAACTCCACTCTCTTCTTTTTGTTCTCATTTCCTCTGTGGTCCATGCATGATTCCATGATTTATCCATTCCATCTGATATGTCCTACCATAGAAAGTTTGATGTAAATATTTTTAAGAGTATTCAACATCTTTAACAATATGCTCGATAAATTTAACAAAAAGAAATATATATCGTATGCAAAAAGCAATAATAACCAATATTATTGTTTATATTCATTAACCTGAAAATTAGTTTTTAAATGAATATCAATTCTAGTAAACAACTACACAACATACCATACCACACAGTCCAATTTGATGTAACAAACTAATATTTTCCTAAGCAATTACATTTACATATGTTGAGTATCCTTTATATCAAACTTAATAAAAGAAAAAAACACCCACTTAGCAATTGAGATTATAGTGGATTATAGACACTGTTTGGCAATGGTCGGGGTTCGGCACTATCACCATCACCACAGATGAGATATTAGTAGAATAGATCTAACATCTTATGGGACTTTATATCGCATGTTCTAAAATACCGATCGTGCAAAAAATCAGGGAAGAGAATTATATCAGACGGAAAAAGATGTATGTAACAGGTCCGGCGGGCCTTAACCCAAGACTTCTTTCTAATACGTTTAGTTTACACCCTTTACCCATTTTGGTTTGCTTCGAGTTGGATTTAAAATACATATGTACATATCTGATTTTTTCCACGATCGGTATTTCAGAACATGTGACCTGAAGTTCCATAAGATGTTAGGTCTATTCTATATCTCGTCTATGGTTGAACTTTTGAAATGCGTACTTCCCGAGTGCCATCTGTGATAAATACGTCCTGCTAATGTGGCAATAGCGCCAAAGTTTATGAAATATGTGACAGATTATAAAGTTACAAAGAAACATGTAAAGAGCACTAATATACATATATGTATACTATTAGGTGCGTAGACGAAATGATCGCTGGAACTTTTTTCATTCCGTCTATCTCAGTGATGGGCAACTCAGCGCCCGCCAAATTCACTGACAGGCAACAGCGTGCAGCGTTCAGGCATATAGCAGTGATGGGTGAAATGTGTGAGTGAGAGTGCGTATCTATCATATGTCCCCAAGAATGAAAATTTCGACGACAAACGTATGAAACTATTATATATGAAGCTGTGAACATCGTACGAAAGATTTACAAGTTACAGAAGAGGCAATTATTTTTATTGTTTAAAGTTTGAATAATATTTAAGCCATGTTTTACTGAATTTATGCACATGTTGTTACAAATATATTCTAAACTCGTATATATAAGTAGTATTTAAAGCAATTGTTGTGAAATTTATTCAAATACTACTGTAAATTGGGCATTTTCTTCAGATTTTTTCAATAAAAACCAGTTAAGTGGTACATATGTGTTGTTTGTTAAGCCTATGACTACGACTATCTCATATTTTCTATAAATAAATAAATAGTAATTGGTAAACTTAGTTAAAATTGCATTAAAATAAATTTGAAGTTCAATTTCGCGCGAAATTTGAATTTGAAAAAGCGTGGGAAAGCTGCAAAAAATGGGGGATTTTCAAATTTAGTTCGCAAAATCACCACTAGTTAGCGCCACACTAAAAGTTCTAGAATTAGTTCCAATTCCCGCCACCGTAATTTTGGCAAAATCTCGAATTTTCAGTTTCCCGCGCTTTTTTAAAAATGTTGAGAATGTATTATTTTGCTATTATTAATTGTTTCTTATTATTTTGTTGGAAAATTGAAATTAGGAATAGGAGTGGAGATATTGCTGGGATACGATCAGGTTGTTTCTATCATTTTTGAATAAAAAGAAACATAAATGATTATTAATCTATGCGAATAATACTCTAATTTAGATTAAAATGTGCTGGAAGTGTTAAGAAGTCCCACAAGAATACACAAATATGTCTGTCGTGACGTTTCCTGTTTCCTGCCTCGCATCGCCACCACAGGAGCCCGCGGTTGTCCGACACTTGCTGATCGCCGAGGAAGTGGAGAAAAGAACTGGAGGGCGATGAGGAGAAGGAATGCTGCACGTATGTGATGTTTCCACTACAGCCATAGAAGAATCCCCTACCAACAGCCCATCAACAGCCCCATTAGGAAGGGAGACATATGACTTCGCAATTGTCCCCTCTCTCTGGTGTCGACTTCAGCCCTCCCATAAGACCGCGCAGTCTATTATATTATATATGTCTATGACTGTCACATATACGTATGGTTTAATTTAATTCATACCTTCTTTCAAAAGGAAAGTTGCAGGAATGTACGATACTTAATCCAGAGACTTTCATTTTAAGAATAGTTTTGTTTTTAATGTATCAATAAACTAAAGAATGATGTACAATTTAACGTAATGCTTCATAAATTTACATTAACTTTTCTACTTTTTCTATACGAACTATTTATTTGAAATTCTTAATAAAATTGATTTTGTAATTGTTTTTTAGTTACATATACAACAAATCAATTCCCTCTATTTCTTTTTATAGTTTCGTTAACGATTTATAGTTCGTTAAAGCACTTTTATCGTTATTAAATACGTGTACATATGCACATAAGTAAAGAAGGGTTTTTCTATTAGATAATACGTTACTGATATATGCAATGTTGCCGAAGCAAACAGTATTTTGGTCCGCATTCAACATTCCGCTGTTCGACCGATAGAGGAACAGCGCTGTGGATTGTTTGTCAATATCTTCGAGTTAGTTGATTTTTATTGGCTTTTGTGTGTAAAGCGATCATTTTACGATGACACGAAAGACTGAAAAAATCTCCTGACTGTAAATGTGTCACAATGTGTAGTGTATATGTATAAAGTACACAGATAATACTGTTAAGGAGAACGTCGTATATGTGCAATAATGCTACTTTTATATGCAAGTCAGGAATTCCATCTGTTTCATTAGGGAAAAGAATGTTTGGATATCTTGGATTACAAGAAACATCTGATCTTTTCTAAATTGATTTTTTTTTGTGTTGTACATTACAATGGATATTTAATAATTAAGGAACCAATTTTTCATGTGAAAAAGCAAGAATTTTTATTACATAGGGGAAAAAAGAACAGATAACCCTTAATAAAAGTTCCATAAATTGGCACTTTAATCGGTAAGTCTGTCAAATAAGTAATATTTTACGTTATCTTACACATATATTTACTTTAATCAAGGATTTATATAATAAATTGGTTGTTTTTTAAACAATACGATGTACATATAAGATTACGTATACACACGCGTGAATATGTTAAGTGATAATAAAAAATAATAAACGATTGTTTATGGTTTGTGATAGTATTAATTATTCTTATACACTAATTATTAAATATTTATTTTTAACAAATCATTAATTTAGTAAAACTAGTTGCGTTAACATATTTTATTTGTTTCAGGTACAATCTAAAAAATGTACATCAGAATGATACAACAAAGAAATATAGGTGGTTTATATAGTAAAGATGAATACATCCAAGAACTGTGTATCCTGTTTAGTTGATGCATGGAACATTGTCTTAGACAATTCTCGATTAACTTTATTGCATATCTTTTATCTTGCTCTTTTGGAGCAATCTTATTGTCATAAAGTAACCAGTGTTCATAAAATCACTTTTAATGAGGCTGAAAGCACGTATAGGAAGGCAAACTCTCTTTTGAGAAGGTATAGTGTTCTACAACCGACTTTCATGAACAATGAACCATTCGGGAAGTGGAAAACGTCAGGCGAAGGTTTTGGAAGAAAATTATTGGGACTGCAGTGTCTGCACATATAGAAATACAGCAGAAGCATTTAAGTGCCTCATGTGTGACGTCCGTAAGGGAACTTCTACGCGGAAACCCCGCATTAATCCTCAACTTGTGGCACAACAGGTTATGATTTAATTGCATTTCACTTATCACATTCGATACTGAAGACCCAGCATATGAGTCACATATCTCATCCATCTAACCGATGACTCACTATGTGTGGGTCATCATCATATTACCATATGTGAGTCACGTACAGACTGTATGTAAACATTGCTGGCTCCTGAGGATAGTCCTGTAATAATACATCGGTCTCGAATGTGTTGAATTCCTTCTACTTTTCATGGGGCACTAGTAATACAATTATCTTGTACACAGGTTGCACAGCAACAATATGTACCACTTTTGAAGCCGGGAAAGAAGGAAGGTGGAAGTGGTGGAAGTACAGCTAGTAGTGGTAAAGAAAAAGATCGTAAATTGGAGAAACCAAGGCGTAAAAATAGGCATCCACCTCGTCTAAAAAATATAGACCGCAGTACAGCTCAAACCAATGAAGTGACAGTAAATAATGTTACTGTCGTTATTACGGAATATAAGCCCAAAGTGAAGAAAAGTTCTGATCAGTCTGGTTTATCTAGCAGTGCTTCTTCTGAAAATGGAAGTCAACACGATTCTAATCAAGACTCTAGAAGTTTGGATATAGGAACTGATGCTTAGCTCAACACGCTATATCACATATGTGTATGAATTAATCTAATTAATATATTATATAATGTATGTCAATCTCTTTGGACTATGGTACATTTTATGGACAAAAAAAAACTATTTTTTCTATGTGTTGCAGGTTATATAACATTCAATGAGGTCAGACGTTTTATGCTATCAGTGGAATCATTGAATTTTTATGACTTCAATGTAATATAAGAAATGTGTCGTGTATTGTTGTTTCTTATTAACATCAAAATTATCTGGTCCATAACAATGATCTAGTTCATACTTCGACGCATCAACTGAAGTTGTACTTAATGTTATGTATTCCATAGTTTCAGAGAATTCTAAATTGCGAGTTTTAATATTAATTGAATATTTAATTTAATTGAATATTTTAGATAATTTTATTTGTACAACTTCGGATATTACTTACTCTACTTATATAATATTGACTGTAACAAATGCATTATGTGCATTAATACTGCAAATGGAATTTTATATATCCATTGTTGACATAACAATGTCCACATGACTTTCATTGAATCTGTAACACCACTGCCAGAAAGCATGTTGTAAGATTATCGTTAATTAGAATGTTTTAATGAACTCATTTATGTATGAGTTATATAATTTGTTTATTTAATAATTACTGTGACAGCGAACTATGAAACTGGCTTTGGTACGTATATACCTTGATCCCATTCCAAAATTATCGATATATAAATCTCGTTTGTTCCGAGCTTTATACTTTCGTAGAAATTAATACCAGTCGCCGCGCAGAAGTTTCTAGTTTGTACACGTGAATTATTATGCAATTAAAGTGCAGAGCATAATATAAAGTGATACACAGTTTTATAAATTTTAGAAACTATTTGATCTTGTAACAAATGAGTTCATTAGTTTTGAGTGTTCATGATTATTATTATGCTACAACACTTCAGAAGTAATTTTTACACTTCTTTCCACAATATACTTTAATAATATTAGAGTATATACATTTGATATACCAATTGTATATAAACAATATTTGAACCATCTATAAAATATTAATTTCTATTACTAGTAAAATCACAAAATTTGGAACACTGCAGTGGGATATGTGCTTTTATTATTGGTATAAATAGTTAACCATAAAAGCTACTAAGCTGGCACATACTAGTAACTGCCCAATCACTTTTAACTGTGATTTATAATTCTTTTTATATTTATTTTTACACATTTTACGTTACCAGGTAATAAATAGCATTGCCGAATTGAATCACAAAAAAAAAGTATTGTGATTGTAAGGACCACAAAATAACGGGATTATTTCATAAGTGTATGAAATTACAAAATGCCATACAAACAATTCTTCTTAGAATTGTGTAAAATGTATTTGTATGCCAGTTAGATTGAAATATAAAACGTAATTTGTCATTGAACATTAACAATGTACATCATAAACATGAAAGTAAACAATACTTTTACAAATATTTATACATAAGTACAGCATTACTCAAATAACAAAAACATTGATGGAATACGTAATCGTACAACATTAAGGAAAATTTATAATGCAAGTAAAATTCTTGTAGTTTCCATTTCATAAATAATTTGTCAGAAACATTATCAAAGTTATACTTTTTTTTATAAAACAAATGTCAAACCTATACTAAAAACATATTGATTACTAAATTAAAAAATTATTTTCATTTTACGTATACATAATATTTATGTACATATTAATCTTACAAGAAAGTGAAACGTTTAGGTGATAAATGTGTCTTCAAATTCTATTAGAATATCGCTTTAAAACAATATGTTCTTAAAATCATTACTTTACAGTTTACGAGTAGGGAATCCATAATTTCCAATATAATAGATATTTAGTAAACGTTAAAAACATACGAATTCTTGAATGATTTAATAATTTTTCGTATTTTTATGGTATTGTGTGAACATGAATCAAAAACATGTATCGATTGCCTTCACAATATAAAACTATGTTAATACCAAATAAAATTGGATTTGTGTGTGTTGCAAATGATTAGGATATTACTATGTTGTACAGATTGTAAAATTTTCGGAAAACTGTTGGGATTAACATTATATTATTACAAGAAAAGAATAAATTAAATGTTTTGAGAAGAAAATCTCGAAAATTTCATATGGCCTTCCAAGTACATTCCTTTTTGAAATTTTATTCGTATCAAATAATGTATGTACAAGTAAAATGTGAGAAACATGTGTATCTTAATTTGCAGTCTTCACAGAATTCAACTTTGATACAATTCATTCATTTGATCCTACATATTTACTTATCTTTTTTCTTTTTTTCCAATATTATTAAGTAACATTGATTCCATATTTTCTGTTACATTCATCACTTCTTCCTGATTATTACTTTCCGATATTCTATCTCCAAATCTCTCACGTACTATTTAACAAAAGAATATTAAGTTATATAAAAGTACAGAACAGTTATATACGTACACAGTGAAACTTACTTTCTGCTACTTCAGAAAAATTGAACACTCTAAGGTTGTGCGACTTATGATCACCACCGGCAGAAAAAACAAGAGGATCATTGGGATTTGATGCAAGACATAGCAAAGCACCAAGATTAGTTTTCTTCTCCCAAATAGAACATGGTTCTGCATGATTAATAACATCCCATACTTTTATGACACCATCGTTTGCTGAAGTAACAAGAAGACCGGGACACGAAGAACTTAGAGTCAAACCTGAAATCATAATACCATGACCACATTTGTAATTTGTATGATTAAATCTTATTTACATTTAAATGTCGTGAACAATACCTGTAACTTCTTTTGTATGAGCCTCAACATTCCAAATTGGTTCATCTTGTCTAATATCGAAGTACTGCATGTATCCATTATCTATGCCTGCCTACAGTACAAATATTAGAATACAATGATATGAATTTTATTATAGGTCTAAAAAAGTAATCATATTTGGTATACTAACTAAACAGTAATTTGGATCAAACTGATTCCATAATACTTTTTCTACTTCCCCTGATGTTTCCCAAGATTTCATAACACTTTGATCTCTGCAGTCAAATAATCTAACCATTCTGCATAAAAAGAATACACACTTGAATATATGAAGTGCATTTAGAAAACATTTATTGATTGCAAGTTAATGTACATACTTATCTGCACAACCTGTCAATAGCTGATGTGTTTCTGTTGGATGCCACTTTAGTGATTGAATTTTCTCATTGAAGGAGTCAATCTTATTAACAGGTGTACCATTTTCTAAATCCCATAACAAAACTGTTTGGTCAACTGATCCACTAGCTAATACATGTCTGAAAGAATAAAGATATTCACAATATAATTTGTTAGAATTTATTGTTACACACAAAAAATGTGTAATATATACTTACGTGAAATTTTGATTCCATGCTAAATCTAATACAGCATCCTTATGACCAATGCGTTTAAAATTTTTCTTTTTACTTGGTTTGCGTCCAAGTTTGTAAGCTGGTTCTAAACAATCGATTAAATCTAAATCCCATACTTCTATGATAGGTGTCATATTACCAATTGCACACAAATTACCTATAAAACAGTATATTATATATACATTTTTATTACTGCATAAGAAAAATATATTACACTTACTTGGTTTTGAATCTGCAGGATCAAAGTTAAGCCATTCTATACACAATGGAAAAGATGGTAGCAATATATCATGGTGACAATAAAAAGAACCTTCTGCTTCATTGTAAACTGAAAATAATTTTAAGACACATTTAATAAAACTTTAAAATACATTTCAAATTGCCACGAGGTAAAAAATTTCTCAGCTGAACAGAATTATAATTTATGTACAAACCAAATATTTCTAAGATGCTGGCATCTCCTTCAACATGCCCTATCAGTACAAGATTGTCGTCACTTTTTATGCCATCATCTTCCTTCTCAGAATCATCATCATTCCCTGTGATTAAAGGATCCTTCCCATCTTTACCAAAAGTTGCAATGTTACTAATATTGCAATGTATGTCACCCGCTGAATACCAAATCAGACATTGAGATAAGATTAAAGAAATGTCACATTATTGTACAATACATGAACTTTAAATCATACATTCTTCATCATATTTGTCAAAGTCATATTCATCAATTTGTGATTGTGTTTCATTTCTGCGCTCCACATTTTCATTCTGATCCTCATCTGAATCTGCATCTCTAAGAACATTACATTGATATTAAATTCTTCTCGACATGTAAACACAAATTACTTACTGCAATTTAGACTGTGTTTGCTTTATAATTTGTTCTAACTCTTTTGGTGTTAACTCAACCTTAAAATGTTAAAAACATACAATACATATAATGACATGTAAAAATTATGTTAAAAATTTTTCTTTATTAACCTTTTCGGGATGCGTAGCAGCTACACCTTTTTTGACCCAGGTTATACACGGTACAATATTCATTTTTATTTGATATATTTACAATAGTGTTTACGGGAAAAATATGTACAACTGTTTAAATAGGTAGGTATGTCAATGTGAAATTCTAAGCCAACGCATAAAAGCACGTGGCAAATCAGTGGGAAATGTATGACAATTTGTACAGCTAGGTTCAAAATAGAAGACCATCTCACTCCAGTCCCACTCCGACAACCTCAGGAATACACGGAAACTACACAAAAATTGTGAATAGCAATTGAATATTCTATTCATTTATGTTAAATTATTTAGAAACTAAGTAGATGTGGTTTAATATAAACTTTCCAGAAATTTATTACATTTATTTATGAATAAAATTTCTAGGCATTCTGGAACTTATATACATAAATAAATATATAAAGCATTGGATGATAGGTCTATTCTATACCTAGTCGGTGGTTATATCCTATAAAGTGAAGGAATAATTAGAAACAATGAAGAATAATGAATGAATTAATGATTATAAATTATAATCTACATGTTATCTAGCAACTCATTCTTTTAGAATTTCTTGTTTTTTCTACTGATTATACTGAATACGTTTTTCTGTTTAAAGATCAAGGACTTACGATCGCTGTGAGCAAATTCACTCAACATAAAAAAATCGCAATCTCGGTCGTGAATCAGTGAAGTTAAACACGACCGTGATCGTGATTCGGCGATCACTGTGATAAATCACCGTTAGTGATTTTGCACGCCATCTCTATACATATATAGCTGATCGAATTTCGTCTGAAGTGAGGAACGTTAGGAATGTCAGTGGTCAGAAGTGAAAAAGAATGATGTTTAATCAGCTGTTCACCTTCTATGATTAAATACTAATTGCTATTATACAAGTGTTGTTTATATTAAATTGGTGAGTACATTTGCCTACATATATTATTATAGATTAATTTCCGTTAGGGCTATATAGTAATAGTTTGTCATAACACATTCTACTTTAATAACCTTACAGTGTTTATCATCATATATATTATTTTACCCTCATATGATGGCTGAAGGATTTATGAATCAATTAGAATTTTTGTGGCATTAAGTAGAAAAAATTTATTACAAATTTCAGTGTCAACATGAATAGTTCAGCGGATCCTAGACGTCCTGAACGAGAGGTTAGGTACAAACCTGCTGCTGCATGTAGTCAAGCGCAACCAGGCGACATTTCAACGCCAGACTACATGAACATATTAGGAATGATCTTCAGTATGTGTGGCTTGATGATGAGATTAAAGTGGTGTGCTTGGGTTGCCTTATATTGTTCTTGTATTAGTTTTGCAAATTCTAAAGTAAGCGACGATACTAAGCAAATTCTTAGCAGTTTTATGTTGTCTATATCAGCAGTTGTTATGTCGTACTTACAAAATCCACAGCCCATGACGCCACCATGGGCATCAGCAATGCAATAAAAGTATTTAAAAGGTTCTGTGTTGTTTGATGATTATTTATTACTTGATATATTCTTTTTCTACTTTTAATAGTTTAAAACAAAAGAAATAGATTTAATGAAGTGACAAGAAATAAACAGGAAATTGATTTCATTGTTTTATTTCTTAAAAAGGATTGTACTTTATTACATTAAATGAACTTTCTTCTATGCATCACTTGTTCCTAATGATATCCTACAATTATCACTTATATTAAGTTTAATAAATATTGTTCAGAGTTAAATGTTTTTTTTCTACTTTTTACATAAATACAGTGATTTTAAAATTGCTGAGACTGCTAGTAGAAATCACGCTTTGTCATTCAATCTTCATTACATAATTGTCTTCTTTAAGTAGCTGTATATCTTACATTCCATGTATACTTTATACATACACGTTTTCAGTCCCATTTTTGCACTCGTTAAAAATGAGTAAAAAAGTAATCGCGACTATTTCAAAGTATGAATAAACCGTCTAATGTTTCTAAGTATAAAGTTCATATTAGATGATATAACAGAATTATACATGGACAGATATAAATGATAGATTCAAGTAACTGTTTTGTACCATTGTTGATTCTATTAAAAAATTGTACAAAAATGTGTCACTCCAAATTCGTGTGTTAAATAATATAATTATGGAATAGGCCGGTCTAACCGCCACACAATGTTCAGACAATTTCACGATGCTACAATATTCAGCGATTGCATAAGTGAAACCTAATAAAAAAGTTTATTTTCTTTTTTAAGAGCAAGGCATCTCAATTTGCATAAACTATTATTCATGTAGTACATTGCTGTTTTCCTAATTTTTTATGCGCTTTACGTGTTCTCTATTTACACATATACTACATATATATTTATTTATTTATTTATTTTTTGCGTTCAGTTGGCAGAAAAGTTTTCCCGAATTAAAAAATACTTTGTTTCGTCGATGAAATAGCTGTTTGTACAAAGAGAAAGAGAGTTCTACGATAAAAATCGAATATCATTCAAATTTCACTATCTACATCCTCACGTGACGAATTTTCCAGAATCCTTATTATCTTCTCCCCCTTAACATTCCGTTTAATACTTGACTGTGGATTCATCAACTGTGCATAGAGTTTCAGCGAAAGATCATATAAAAGGAGGCTGCAATATGTGGCCCCTCAGTTTTAGAATATTTCAACAGTCCATCCCACTTACTCAAGGACTCATGAAAGCAATTTACAAATGATCGCACAAGACTGCGTGCGGCTATTGGCACAGATACCTCCTAATAGTTACTTTACACCTATTCTGGCCCTTTCGCTTATGGTCCCCGATCGGTCGAGAATCGTCTGCAATTAAACGCTACTTTCTCCCCGACCGACCAGCGTGATCGGATACACGTACTTTTTCCGTTTTGCGCTAAAAAACGGCGAACCGTGTTGCCCGTGCGTGGGCGTCGGCGAGAGTCCACGCAAAAGGGGCAACGAAGCGTCGCCGCTCAACCCGGTCGCGTCGAATTTCTTCTTCCATTCCGCTCCTAGATCCGTTGCTGGTGCCATGAGGCCTTTGCACTCTGGAGAACTTCTAACGCTGAGGAACACGTCGTTACTGCTGTCACGTTGTCCAGAAGAACCCTAAAAAATACATATCTTCCTGCACACTTTTAAATTTAAATTCTGCCCTACTTTCAAAGGAAGTTTACAATTGAGCCTGGTGCTTTTTTGAAATAAATCTTAGGTCAAAATGTAGGCTAATTATGTGTGTTAACAAAGTCTTGAATATTAGCCACCAAGACGCTCCAACTTTGTTATTAAAAATGCCTTTAAAGATTGTACATGTGGAGACATTCATGTAGCCATTGGTATATTTGACACAAGTTGTGTATATTGCACCTTGGCTTCGTAAAAGTCCAAACTGGAGCCGTTCGTCTCGTTCTCCTCTTCAGCGTAGCCCGGCTGTACCCGGTTCGACGCGTGGGACGCTCCAGAGGAATGAGAAGAGGTGTGGGACGAAGAATTTTCGGACAAGTCGTCTCTACAGCAGGCAGCCGTGCATACTCTTTGCTCTCTGCAATGTTTTATAAAATTTATACGCGTTATTAATAGATTTGTTCACTTGTCCTCTGAAAGTCACTTTTATCATTATCACTAGCGGAAAGTTCGTATGATGAAGAATTTCGGACTTTTCTTTCCGGAACCAACTTCGTTCGATTTAGGAACAAAGTATTTTTATAAGAAGCTTTCAACCCAAGAAAATCTGGGATTCACAAAGGAACTTCGGTAACCCGAAAACCGAATTTCCAATTTTCCTGTAAACTTTGCAAGATTTGACTCCGACAGGAGGATCAGGCAATATTGACTACTTTTTGGTTTTTCTGTGTGAAAGCAGCCCTTAAAGAAAATCGGAAAGTTTACAGAAAAATTAGAATTTGCAAATTATCAGAGTTCCCTTGTCGATATGGTTTTTCTTTTTTAATCCCTGGTCAAAGTAGGTACCTTCTGACAATGACCGAGTCCCGTCTTCTCGGCACTGGCGGCGGAAGACCAGCGGTTAAGCTTCTGGCGCTCTCGTAGCTCGCCTCGCTATTCCCGCTGCTTGTATTACTGCCGTTGTTTCCCTCCCTCAGGAAATAATTCTTCGCCGAGAGCATAGCGAAGTGAATGTTGTTCTTCAAGTCGTCCGCCGCCGTTGACAAGTTTCCCGAAATCTTCGGGGTGCGTCTCATCGGTCTTGGTGGTGGTACAGGTGACGGTGGGTTGCTGGACGCCTCCGACAGTGTTTCCGGTGTCGCTAGCGGCGCTGTTCGGGACGTGTCGTCCCAATCGGTCCGTCGATTTGGCCTTCGTGCAAAAAACGCAACGCTCAAGATATTACAGTTGATTGCCACAGGAACGGCGGGGGATTGCAGCTAAAGGGAACAATTTCGATTCCAGGAACAACAAAACAGAAGACAATTGTCCATGGAACAAAATGTTTCTCCCCACCTGCAATCCTCCAATAGACACGATCACTCAGAATCTATTTTCGTATGTATTCGACAACCTTACGGTGTGCAATGATATCGGTTTATATATATGTGCGCGACTGTCAAAGCGGTGAAATACTGCGAGTCGGTGAAATAAGCGATTGTGAACGAGAGCGTGATGTATTGTATAACTCCGATGTGATTATTCGATGAATAAGGATTTCATTATGATAACGAGGATTTAGTTATTAGAAAGTGAACAGTGTCATTGTGAAATTTAGCCGAAAGTATCCTGTCGGGTTCGGCGTCTAGACGAATCCACACCAGGCAAGAATATCTAGTACGATCAAATCTAATTACAATACATATATATAAGATCCCGAGAGAGTTCGACCGTCCAACACAATTCTTCGCTCCTTTAAATCCATATCAAAGTTAAATCCTAGGTGTCTTTCTCTCTCTTTCTTCGGTCGTCACAGCCCTCCGATTAAGGAAACTGCGCGTACACACACACGGTTTGCGTTGTTCCAGACATAAAAGTGCTATTCTTACAATTTACATTCCTCGGCCCTAGGCGTGTTCAGCAGCTCGCTGGCCAGGCTGACGTACTCCCATGGTATACCCCTGGAGTCGACGCTCAGCTCGCGGCCGGCCTGTGGGAACTCCGACGGGCTCTGTAGGGACGTGAAGCTGGTCTCCAGGCAGAGTTTGTGCGGCGGCGTACCGGCCAGGTTGCTGGGATGGGATTTCACGGGGCTGGATGAGGACAGCAACGCTCTCATTTCCTGTTCGATCTCCATCTCCTGGATCTCGACGACCTCGCGCGCCTCGGACGCCTCCGTGGACGATGCGTGGCCGGAAGCGAGCCTCTGCGGCTTCGCCGGCCCCAAAGTGGTTACAACCTGACATATCCACACGGGGTGTTGCCATGTTACGGTTAAACGTTTCACAAGACTCGAACACTTCAACCTCGTCTACGACTTTGATAATTTATATCCCTTCCGTTCTCGAACATCAATGCGATAGTAGCGATGGGACCTCCCAAAACGATTCGAACGTGTTTGGACTTCTACCGGCACCAATAGTTTGAACAGGTCCAAACAAAGGTTGAACACGAGGAGGCGTTCGAACTAGGGCTGTTGTGAATATTCGAATATTCAATATATTCGAATAGCAGTAGAATCGAATTTGATATTCGAATCATTCGGACATTCGACATATTCGGATTATACAAAGTATTCGAATTATTCCAAATATTCGAGGTATCCGACATATTCTGATTATTCGGAGTATTCGGAGTATTTGAATATTCGAAGTGATAGAATTTTTTATTTTACTAAATAGGAATCTGAACATAATATATTTCCTCTAACCTTATCGTGAAATTCTTTTCACATTGGCCTTTACAATTATTTGTGTTTCAAACGTTAAACCTGAATTTTCGTCAGAAAGTTTCTGTTATTCGAATACTCCGTACTATTCGACTTATTCGAATCCCCTCTACTGTTCAAATTATTCGAATAGTTCGAATATTTGAAGACTTACAGTTCTAGTTCAAATTTAAGGTCAGAGTACAAATTTTCCAAACATTTCCAACTCATTTCGAGACGCTCGAATCGGCCAACCGACTCGAAATAATGGGGCGTCAGAGGATTTAACTTGTTGCTTGATCGATACGAGCGATTTGAAACGTCTGAACTGTGTCGAAAAGTTTGGACCTGACCACCTAGTTTGAGTGCCTTGCCACGTTCAAACTATGTTTGGATCTGCTCGAACTTGTTGTGCTCATAGAAGTCTAAACATGTTCGTAACCGTTTGGTCGTGGCCCCATCCCTATCTACGAGCTGTCGAATAATTACGATGGGCGTCTGGAACTTTGAAATGGTGGCGCAGGAGGTATAATATTTAACTGGCAATTATATAGATACTTGTGCAATGTAAAAATTTTCTTGGTTTGCCATCATATTTTTACGAATAATATTCCTATAATTTCTAGATTTACTTTTAATAACGAATGCTATTAATCGAATAAGACAGGAGTTGTTTTAAGTGGAACTGAGAGTTTGTTCGAATAAATTCGCGTATGGACTCATTTTTGCAAGGAGAACCTTAATAATTCACTGACTATAATTTCATAAAAATGTGAGGAAATTTTCATATTGCATTAGTGTTAGAATTGTCCAAACTGATACGTCGTTTTAACCCCGTTTTAAAATTCTCAGGAGCCAGCGAGTCCTTCGATTAGTGTTCTATTTCAATTACTTCCAATGTGTCTACTTTCCACGGCGTGAAACTTTCGAAGCTTTTCGAATCGTGTGAAGCGTCTACTGTGATTGATTTATCAATTCACAGACATTAGTTCTATAATTCCGTACCGTTAACATTGAAAGTATTCAGTCGATTTTTATCGAGTTTTCGGAAACAACGAAGGGGGGTGTAATCAAACGATTGGTACGTATCACGGTCTCTATGTTGACTTTAAATTAATGGATGCTTGAATGATATTTGATAGTTCGGGAACATAAAATAGCGTCATCGAGTCAATGGGTTTAGTCAGGTACTGGAATATCCAATCGTGCGGTTTGGTAATATCGATTGTTCACCTAGAAGATACTAGTGGTACGCTAAGGGTGATTCTGTAATAACTGAACCATCTATCAAGGGTCGAACACTAGAAAAATATTATTTTATTTACGTATAATCTCGATTTTTATCTTAATCTCGAAAAGGAGGAAACCTTTCGCCTTGTACTCTTGATGGAGGGATATAATGTAGCTGTAAAATAAACTATCTAAATTTTGTTTCAGGTTAGTATTTTGTTGGGAATGTTAATTAAAATATGTGCTTTTCCTACTAACAAAATGATTCTAAGTTATTAGTACCATTTTTTTTTAAACTTTTAATTTCATTATAAGTCCAATGATCTAGATACTTTACAACCACACTATACCGTTTCCACTGACTACGAACGCGCTATACTGTTCACGGAAGTGTCAATTTCACGACTGTTTTTAACGGAAGAAATAGTCGACTGAAAATTGTATGGTTCCACCGACCATGGTTTTCAGTAACGAACCGTATAGCACCCATTCTTTATACTTTCACAAAGTAATTTTGCTGAGAGGCAAATTAGAATTTCACGACAGTTGGTACGTGTATACGCCTTTTTTCGGTAATACGATCCAGTTCCGTGTCGCGTGGATCCGAATCGACGATTATAAATTTTTAATTCCCATTATGCAAACCGAAAATTCCGAGCGAGTATTCGTGAAATATTTAACGGGGATAATAGAATTTCCCGGAGAACTCAGCTAAATATATGGAAAGTAGGATAATAATGGCTCGGATGTACAACAATAGTTAAAAACTCGATTATACATGTAATTTATCTAGGAGAGAGAACATCGAATCGCCATTTTTATGCTACAAAGGAATGTGGCTTGCATGAGTCCATTTTCGCTGTGAAATATATTTTTTTTCAAATTTTACAGGATACAAAGATTACGCACTGAATAGCTAGAGCCAATTTTAGCTTTGTTGAACATTACTTGCGATATAATATACAGAAAATTAACCCGTTAAAAGGATTCTTTTCGATTTTCGATACACCGAAGGTTCAGTAAAAACGATCCGATGAAAATTATTCGATCTAATTTATACTACTACAGAATCTACTATAAAGTTAGATTTAGAAACGGTCGGATAAATATACAAGGTAACGAAAAATTATAGGAAGATAGAGTTGATTATAGAATTATAGGAAATAACGAGTTAACTCATTTTCCCAAGTTAACAAGTTAATAACTGATCAATTATTTCTTAACAATGTTTAATACTATAAAGATTAGAATGTTTTGTATAAAATTTTGATTTACAAATTGACTGCTAGATTTGATAAAAAATAAAACGTTAAAAAGTTTCATGGTCACGAGTGTCCATGCTTTTACTTGAAATAATATTTCCATGTTCGAAATACTTTTTCAGAGATTCCATTTGTTAAGTATTAACAAAAATTATAATAAATTATTCTGTTGATTCTAGTCATCCTGAAAAGTTTGAAATGAAAAATTCTTTCCATAGCGAAAACGTGCAAATGAATGGATGTCTGCAATGAAAAATGAAACACAGAATGATTACAACTGACAACTGACGATCAACGCGTTCGACAAGTACTCTCGTGAGCAGTAAACACTTCGTTATGATGTCGTGCATGCGATTAATGTAGAGTAATTCGCGATGAAATAACGTCTATTACGTAGGTACACTTCAAAGATTTCCACTGCGTGAGGGAAAATATAGCAGCGTGAATGTGATTTTTTGCACAAATGAAAATGTACGAAAGTCAATAAATTGAGAATTTTCCCGAGTTCTAATCAAATTTTAACATATTTTCAGAACTAATAAAATATTTAATAAACGACCTCAATTTTTATTTAACTTCAAATTTCTGTAAATCGGTCTAGAAAAATACGGAATTCATTAATAAAAATCCATTTATATATCGCAACTACGTACACTACCGCTCATAAGCATTCGGAAATCTAGTTTGTATGAAGAAAATGTGGTATGTCGTAAAAATTTTATATTTTAGGCCACGTTTATCATTTCATAGTAGCATAACGTTGTCCATGGAGCTTTAATATCCCCTAAAGGTACTTCAGACTTAAAATTTACATCAGACTTTTATATTCACCTTAAACAGTGCAAATCTATTATAAGAAGTGTACAGAATCCAGTAATGATTCTAGCTGGAAGGACTAACAACTACACACTCAGTATCTACCTGCTTTAATCGGTGAATGTTAATTTTTACACATTGTTCTCTAAGTGCAGAAACAAAAATACGGTAAAAAAAAGGTCTATCTAAGGAACTTGTACATTGTTGAAAAACATTTTTGTAACTACAACGCATTTCTAAAACATCTGTATTTCAAAAGCACGCTGTTTAATCAGATCCACGAGTCATGCGTTGAAATTCTTAAGACATTGATTGCCATGACCTTTGCCACAACCTTTTCCTAGTGTTAAAAATGAAAAATTGTTTTCCTATGCTTGTAACAAATGAGTTCCATCAAATAAAAAATCAGATGACAATGTATAGTAAAAAGTGTGCAATTCAACAATACTTTTCCTTTGTATGTTTATAGTAACAAAAATTCATTGTCAAAAGTTTAGATCCGTTTGTTAATTTTCAACAGGTACAATTATATAAAGAATTTATCCCAAATTGTAAGTTAATAATACTAGACACCTTATAATTCCCAACTTTCGTAAATAAATACGATTATTTTAATTTGTTTGTCCAATGAGTAAACATACGTTTTCTTCGATTCACGGAGTGAGATCCCAAACTTTTGGCCGACAGTGTAAGACATAAGCAATTTGCTAGGCAGTAGACATATAACAGGAGACATACGAATTGCCTCCAGACAGAATCATTGCAGTATAGCGTATCCGAGGAATGAAATATGGAATCGGTAATAAACTAAAACGATGCGTGGTGCACATGCATGGAACGACTGTGACAAGTATGTACCATTCACAATACGATTCGGACGATCAATCGTCTGCCTCTAAATCGTGTGTGTCTACAGATCTATCGTTACAACACCGTCGTTACGTCCATTCGGACGATCTCATACTACTGACAGTCTCTACTTGCCGATTTGCAATTGTATACGTACTTCACTCGAAATTTCGTGTCGAGTGTACCTCGGTAGCGGACTTTGAATGGATGAAATGTGCGATGTCTAAAGATCGGTAAGTGCATGCGATCTGAATGCAGTCGAAGGTGACGAAAATGGGTTGCAATAGTGATGATAATTATAATGATGGAATTTTGATGGATATTTTCAGTCGCTGTAGACTTATCCGTGGCCAACTTACAGAGTGAGGTTTTGAT